TTATTGAACCTGACAGTGAGGGCACAAACAACATCAGAGGGAGTGCTTACACGTGTACTCCCAGTAAAGGGGAGGGCAAGGCGGTGAAAGTCAGAGCTAGTACAGGACAAATACAAGTTAAAGACACTGTGTTCAATCTCCAGGGTACTAGTGTCTTTAAGCACTCCCAGTGTTTGGGGGGAAGAGGGAAGGAGGGAGGGATGAAAGGAGTAGGGGGAGCAGTAAACTCAACCGAGACTTTTCTTATGGTTTATATCACCTTATGTGGGAAAAATCATCCTAGAAGGAAAGCAACAAAGGGGTTTGAAACCAACAGAAAAATACTTGCTAAAAGGTAGCTTGCTCTTTGTCAAACTCCCTGATGCCTGCAAAAGCACCCTGAGCATGCACTTCACCAGACAGCTTTGCATATGAAATGCTCTGCTTCAGAAACAGTTGTGTATTTTTACCAGAGGGGGGGTTATTCCTGTCAATTGTCCTCTGATTACTGATCTGTGAGAAGCAAAAAAGGGGCACAGCTACCACAAAGGCATAAGTATTGAAGTTCATGGGATTTCCAACATTCACTTTCCTTACCCCCCTAAAACTTTAACCCTTGAGTGGATGCTGCCATATACATTTCCTTTGTTCAGCTGCCTGCTGGGCCACCTGGAAAGCATCAGCACTCGAAGAAGAAAACTGCTATTGTTTATCCGGCATTCCCTCAAAAGCAAACCTTGCTGTCCATTCCCATTCCCCAGAAAGGTATTTGGTTCTATCGGCACCCCTATCAAATTCGAGCGCAGAGACATGTTTAGGGTACGTGCAGCAGCTCAGATAGGCTGGGCTGTTGCAATCCTGTTGCAATCCAGTGCAGAAAACAGAATGTGAGCACTGGCATGCTGCTCCCACGCCCTCCCCTCTCCAGGCTTTACATTAACTCAGCGACACCCTGCTAGGCACAAGGTTTATTTACACAACACGAAGTCCTGAGACCAGCCTTTGTTCGACTGCACCTTTGACAAGGCTCGGGAAGCACCACGGACTATAGGAAAGGTGCATTAAGGACTGGAAGGCCCACGTATGAATGAGATGTTTTGAAACTCGCCTGATTGAGTTCCCAGCTGCAGCACAACCCTCTTTCAGCCGGAAGCTGCTGGGACAAACTAGCGAAGCTCCTGGCTTTCCCAGGGAGCAGTGAATTGTACTGACACGGTGGTTCCACAAGGACCTGAATCCAGGATATGCTGGTGACATCCTGAAAAGAAGCAACTGCCTCCCTCCCCAGCCATTCAGATGTTTTGCTGGGCTAGATTAGGACGGGATGTGTTTCCCAACACACTTCACCTCATGGCTGTGTCAGCGCAAGGGAGGGGACAGCGTGGGAGCCGGAAGAGGGCAGGACTCACTGACAGGCTCTTGGCTGCAGGAGCGGCCCAAGACACTCGGGGAACCCACGGCTCTGGGAATTGCGCACTCCCTGGTTTTCCTTAGAAATGCCTGCTCTGTGCATAGCACTTTAAAACCTAACCTGTGTGTAAAAACAGGCAAGAAAGCCCAGGTGCCAGCGTACTGGGTGGAAGCATCCAAGGGGGCTGTAGCTTCACCTCTCCAGGACGAGCGCTGCCCACTCTGTGGCACTCACCCTCTTCCCCATGGGGTGTGTAAGGCAGAACTCCTCCTGTGTGCTATGTGGTCATCTTGTTGAGGGTTTGGACTAATTCCAAGGCTTTTTCTTGGAGGTTTGGAGATCCAGAGAGGTGCTGGTTGCTGTGCCTCAGCTTCCCCCTTCTGGGAAGCAGACATGACAGGGATATATATTCCCTACCACAACTGCCATGACATCCTACAAAGCATTTTTGACATTAACAACTCCAAATCATTGTCAGAGCCTCTCACGGCAGAGACTTTCAACGTAAAGAAAACAAAAGAAAACCTCTCCAGAAAAGCAGGCCCAGAGCAACTGGGAGGTATTTGGTCAGAATGTCAGAGGGTGACCAGACAGTGAAAATGGCATCAATTTAAGTTCCAGTATATGCTTTACACAGGCCTGGGTCAGCTTCAAAATGCATTATAAGGCTGCTGAAGCAATAAAAATGTCAATGGTTCATCTCCTAAAAGCAAATGGGGCCAGTAACAAATATTTTATACCAATAAGTTAATCCTAGATCTTCTTCCAGAAAATTTCATTCCTTTTCTGTACCTTTTTCCTTAATGCATTGTTAAAAATAAAAATAGTCCTTTGTATACCACTTGTATAGCATTTATTCCCCATAGACCTGCATGATTTACTAGAACTACAGTCCCATTATGCCCATTTTACAGGCAGTGAAATCAAGCCACAGAGATAAAGAAAGTGATTAGAGGGCATGCAGCGAGAGGCAAAACCAAGGAAGACTAAAAGGGGTCTACAGGAACCTGGAGAGGGCCTTTTTATAAGGACATATAGTGACAAGATAAGGGGGGATGGTTTTAACCTGACATGGGGGGGGGAGGGCTGGATTAGACCTTAGGCAGAAGCTCTTCCCTGTGAGGGTGCTGAGGCGCTGGCACAGGGTGCCCAGAGAAGCTGTGGCTGCCCCATCCCTGGCAGTGTTCAAGGCCAGGTTGGACACAGGGGCTTGGAGCAAGCTGCTTCAGTGGAAGGGGTCCCTGCCTGTGGCAGGTGTTGGAGCTGGATGAGCTTTAAGGTCCCTTCCAACCCAAACCATGCTGGGATTCTGTAAGACTGCACTTCTGTTCCATTTCAGTTTATTCTGTTCTACTGCATTCCTCTACTGGTACACAGAAAATAAGATGACTTCTCATTAAACTCACGAGGTTATATTAAAAGGGCCAACAAATTTTTGCTTCACTTTGTAAATTCTCTTGGTTTTCTTGAAGGGATAAATATTCCCCACCATTACTGCTACAGGGTTAGGTAAATACTTCACAGAGAGTACGTAAATGTGAAATCCACCCCTGTTCTTATTAATATTTATGTAATAACCTAGGGCTGGAATTGGCTATCATTGGCTTGACCTCAGATCTTTGACATAAATGCCTATTTGAAGCACCTGGCAATAGGCTGGAAGCATCCACACCCAGAACTGCTCTGTCTGGGCTTGCAGTTTTGCCAGCCACACACCTTTTCCTATCCTGACTGTAAGGAACGCAGCAACTGGAAAACATCAGCACAAAACATGCTTAGAGAGAACAAGGCAACGTTGTACCATTAGCTCTTACAACACACGTGCTTAACCTCTCTCACATGACTTACCTGAGTCCACAGCTGAACAGAAGCCTCTGCAAACATGTGCACGCTGCAGCTGGTACCCAGACCCCTAAGCACCACACAGCCATTTCTGGAATGTCTTTCTAGTTGTGCTCTCTAAAAACAACCAAAAAAACTAAAGCAAAATTCAGACTAACCCTGAATTTCAATTAGCAGCCATTGAGGCCTTAGGCCTTTGCTTTATTATTGCCCTTTTATCCAAAAAAAAGTCTTTTGATCTCATGAACTTTTTTCTAATGTATTCAAATGTTATGGCTTTTTGTATCTGTTTCGTATGTCCTCAGCAGACTGTGTAAACAGCCCTGTGAGCTGACCAATGCATCTGCCAATCCACCACACGTGTGAGCAGTGTTCCTGTGGAGAACCAGGATCTCAGGTAGGGATCAATACTGAATTCCACACTAAATTTTCCACCTCTGCTTCTTTCTGAAACAAGGGCACATATAGATACTGCAGTGTTGGCAACTGCACACTACTCTTAATGAAGAGAAGAGGAAAGAATGGCAATTCTGAGGGGTGTGAGTATCCTGGTGGTTCTCCTGTGGAAGTCCTAAGGGACAAGACCAGGACATTCCCACCCTGTGAGGGGACAGGGCTGCCCTGACCAGTGGGGAGCAGCCACACAGTTGCTGTGTGATACATCAGCTGCAATCAGAGATCAGGTTTATTATGAATCAGATGGGATTAAGAGTAGCTGTTCAGTAGCATCTTCTCCCAAACTCAGGTCTGTAACTCTGCTTGTGCTTTCAGGTATTGTCCCACCCAGGCTGTGCCCTTTCCTCCCTGCAATGCCTTCTTTGCCTATTTGGCAACCGTAAGTGCTCCCACACCATGACTCCAACACAAATGACTGTCATCCAGAGTGAACGCTTCCATTTGAATTCCATGAGCAGGCATTCTGTAAACTTCCCTGCAGGCTCCACCACTGTAATACCTGGGAAGGAGCAACCTGCAGGACCTACTTTCACTGGGCAATGCTTTCTCTGCTTATTGCTACTCCTGTCAGAAACATTACTCTAATTCAGACAGGTGTCCTTACATCTGTCAGCCACCAGCCACTGGTGACCTTCAGTAACAGAAACTCAGTGTCCAGCTCCAAGCCTGAACCCACAGCACAGAGAAGGAAAACACAATTCCTCACTGGATATCCCTAAACTCTACAGTGCTTTACACCAGTCATTGGTCTCACACAGACTTGCTTCCTTTCCTTCTCCTGTTGCAAACACTGCTTTATCCCAGGTTGCCAGGAGCCTACTGTTCCAACAGCTGCTAAGACAGAGTGAGGTGTTAACTTTGACAGGATGCCATATTGTTTATTAATTAAAAATCCAAGCATGTGTATCCATTCTGAGACCTTCACCAAAACGGAGCTATTCACCAAGGGCTCTGAAGGGTTAAATCCAGTTCTTTTGAGCCTTTCAGTCACAACCGTAAATCAATGCATTTTGTTGCCACTACTGACTTTAATATGTGTTTATTGGACCATCAAAATGCCAGAAAGCAAATTTCAGTTCTCCAGTGAAACCACAGCCCAGCAACCTCAGAACAAATGCAGGCTTCCAGTGGGACCCTCATTCCCAAACACAGTAAATATCCTTTCAGAGGTGTTCATCCTTCTCCCCACCACTCAGCATTAGCAGCTTCTATTTGTAAGGGTAATGTTCTCATGCTGCCAGCTCACAACACTGAGGGCAGCCGTCTGCTGCCCATATGCCACCCGTCCTCCAGTGCCTCCTTGACCGCTTACCTGCACTCCTGGGGCTGCAGATCAGCTGCTATTCTGTCAGCCTGCTTTGTGTGTAGAGGATTTTTCTGACTGTAAGCTCCACAGGATGGGAATTTTGTCCAATTCTCTGTTTCTCAGAGCACCAGTTATGCTATGGAACAGAAATGATGAACACAGAGACATTAATGGTGTGACATTTCAATCTGTAACATCCTAAAAAGCATGGGGAGCAAGACCCCAGAGTTCCTTATCTCTAGACGCTGCAGTTAGCTTCTATTTGGTCAGGGTTTTGATAAAAAATGATAAAATACATACAGTTTGAATAAAAAATATATAGTTTATTACTTGTTTGAAAATGTATTTCTGGGCATTTTCAGTGACCACTGAAATCCTCTATAAAGCTACCTGGGAATGGGAAAAGTAATAGCGAGAAAACTGGATGAAGAGATGATCATATCAAATCTTTCATTCACGTGTTGCTGCACATAAACACACAGGGGTTGAATTGCTCAGGGAACATTCTTAAGAAAATGGAAAAGGTTTTTAGTGGTTCCTCCCTTAGTTCTGCAGTGTTTCTCTGCATTTACAGCCAAGTGTTACTGTCCTGCCCCAGAGGTAACCCAACAGGTCTTGCAAAGGCTCCTAACGTGGCCCCACCTCCGTCATTCCCAATCTTGTCTTTCTAACCTACTCATTTTCCTCCATTCCACAAACTATTAGTTTCAAAGAAATTCAGAGATTAATTAAAATGATTGGTGGGATGAGTAGGTGAGGGGGACAGGCTAAAGGGCTTGACAAGAAGAAAGATGAAAAGGACTAAAGGCGGACGGCTTGGTTATGCGATGAGTAATTGAGGGTGGAGGAGATGGACACGATATTCATTTACAAGTGCCTATAGTTCTGAGAAGCACTTTTCATGTGCAAACTGTAGACTAGCTCAAGACCAGCTTTCAGATCTGCTTCCAGGGTCCTTCACTTCAAGCTGTTAGTCCCACTCTTCCCCCAGCCAATGCATTCCCACCCCTCCCTTGTGTCCTCAAATATATAAATATTATGTATATTTAATTTCAGCTCAGCTTTCAGCCAGATTCAGTTCCTGGATCTCTGCTTGGCCACATGAGCCCTACTGGGAGCAAAGAGCAAAAGGAGAGGCCACGGAAGCTGGGGGTGGATGAGGTGCCACCTCTTTGCCGCACCTCTGCTGTGCTGCAGACTCCAGTGGACTTGGACTGACTATGAAAGCACAGGGAGGAATTGGGAGCAGGAGCACCCAGGAATTATCTGTCTTCCTTTTAGCCTAAGGAAACTGTTCTTTGTGCCCTCTCACTCCAGCTTCTTTTTCTGTGTTCTGAAGTAGTAAATAAAAGAGAAACACTCGCTCCTTCTGACTCTTCAAACTCGTCTTGCTCAGTTGGGGAAACCTGCTCTCTAGTAATTCCTTAAGCAAGTGAAAAAAAGTGTGAGAAGACCCAGTAATTCCCACTCTTACTCAGTTCATGCAGAGGTAAAACAGGATGTCACATTTGAATGCATTAAGTGAGTCTAAATATACCCTATATCATAAAAATAATTGTCTATATAAGAAGAATATGGTGGAAACATCTCTGCTGAGGGGAAAAAGCAAGAGAGTGGAATATAGTCAAGTTTAAAAAAGAAAAAAACTGTATGAAAATAAGTATTTCCTTTCCATGAGCACCTTTTCCAATACAAATGAACAGAATCTGTCATTTACCCCTTCTTCTTTCTTTTTCACATGGTCTAGAAATAAGCCAAAAGCATTTGTGCTACAGGAGGGGAAGAAAACAACAAATCCATTTACTCCTGGCCACCAAATATCATTTAGATGGATGTGGTATGTATAAGAAATTTTAATTTGTCCCTGAAAAGCCATTTAATTATTCAGATGATCTGATTGCTTCACTCAAGGCTTGCATTGATTGATTAGAGAACTTTATAAATCAAAATCTGCATTAGTGCTGCTCCATGCATCTGCTTCTCACAGCAACAGAGATACAGTTCATTTCAATCCCTACCCACAAGTTAGGTTAGTGAGATATGTAAATGGCTATGGTTTATAAATGGGTTTGTAATTCTTCCTTCATACTACTAAAGGCATATTCACTTAAGGACATCAGGAAAGGAGGGGGGGAAAGCCCTAAAGTAAGAGGTGTTTAATAAATCAGGGCATAGTCACCAAAATTCCCAGCTCCTTGGCTAGCGGCCAGGAAGGATCACTGTTCATGGGCAGCACTCAGTGAATCTCAGGGGCAGAACTTGGGGCACTTGGCTGAAATCTAAGCTGAGACCTCCCTAAGCACCCGCTCACCAGTCTCGTCCCGAATTAGGCAGAAAATCCCCTCGGAGCAGCAAAGAGCATTTGGCTTTGATTTCAGAGCTCTCGCCTGCTATGCACAACCTTTCTGACCAGCTCGGCTGTCTGTTGCCAGCCTCGGCCAAATAACCTCTAAGTGAGTAGCAATTAACATAATGAGTGGACTGATGGGTGTCCCCCATAGCTACAGGCCTCGGTAGCAACACGTCTCTGGCAAACTGGAATGTCTGGTCCTGAAACTCCACCTCTGCAAAAGGAAGGAAGTCGAAAATGGGTGGAGGGTAAGAAAAAAAAAAGGAGAAGACATTAAATGACTTTAAATGAATCCCTCCAGCTTGATCCAACATTCACTGAAGCTAATGAAAAACCTGCATTGATAGAATGGGGCTGAACTGGACAGACTACAGAGGCAGAGCTTTTCAGCTTATACAAATATGTATTAGAGTGATTAAAGCTACACTGACCGTGCTCCTTGTAGTCTGAACTTGGCCTTCTAGGACAAAGGAGACACGCAGAGAAGCCCGCAAAAGATAAACCAAACCAATGAAATTCCAACACATTAAATATGGCAATTAATCAGACCAAAATTAGTATTGTCAATACAGAAAAGCAACTGAAGCGAAGTATTTGCATGGCTTCCTATGTAACAGAAACCAGAAAAAAAACCCAAAACAAAACCTTTTCAGCTTAATTCTAAAACCATTCTTATTTTGTAAGAAACACGATCCACACAGCAAACTACTCAAAATTCACTCCTTACGTTTCTCCAGAGTTTCTTCTGTGCATGGACAAGCCCTTTATAAAGACCAGAAATGCACAGAGACACAACACAGATCTTTTATGGGCTATCTCAGGGGAGTTTGAGCACAGCAAGGCCAGCCACATCAGGTCGGACCAGATCCCCTATCTCAGCCAGGAGCCAAGAGCAGATACCTGGAGAGGCACACAGAACCAGGGCACCACACAGCAGGTTTGCCTCAGGATGCTCTCCCAGGCACAAGCTTTGGGATTTCCAGAGCTAACAGGCTGTATTTGATAGCCCTCGAGTGATTTCTGTGTGGTGAATTCATCTAATCACTTTAGAGTCCCCGAGTCCACACAGCGCTCTTGCCAAGGAGTTCCACAGCTGAGCTGCATTTCTATGAAGACATTTCTCTGGTTTATTCTGAACCTGCCAGCTTCATTTGATGCCCCTTGGCTCTTGTGCCATAAGAGTCAGTCACCAGCCTCTATTTATCTTTATGTAAAGCTTAAAAAGGAGTTAAACTGCTTCTAGCGTTCACCGCACTAATGAATTTCAGAGATTCTCTTATGCATATGCAACAACTCACTGCTCTTTAGCTAAACCATTGGCAGCTGATGCTCCAACAGCAGTTTGAGTCTCAGTTACCTGCAAGACAGGCAGATGCTGCCTATGTGAAGGCTGTGTGTATACCAACAACACACAGCAAACCCTCCCTTCGCAGCCAAAGCTTTGCATTTCATGCCGCGGGCTGTTAACACAAGCATAGAGAAGTGCAGGTATTATTTGCACAATCCCAGTTCTCACACAAAGTAACACCAGGGCCCACCGTGTGGTCAAATGAAGCCAGGTGGGAACACCCAGGGAAAACACAGACCAAAATAAAGGTACAACTTCAAACAGGGAAGCCAGACCTTCACTTCTCTGTCGCAGCTGCCCTTGTTTCTGTTTGCTTCATTGTTGCTTCCTACACTGTAACTGGTAATTATGTCATTATGTCTAGGAAAAAATAGCACCAGAGAATTTGAAAGTGTATTTTCAAACCTAGACAGAAGTTTGTCAGCTTCACTTATCGTAACGAGTGATTAAACCTGATAGACCAAGTTCTTCACTGGTCTATCCTACAACAGGTAGCAACAGCTTTGCGTTGTAAGCCTAAGGAGCACTTGTTGCACTGTTAGCAACAGTAAACCCCTTCAGTCCCTGTCCTACCCAGTGTTGCCATCTCGGGTCCTTAAATAGCTGCTGCACTTTATTCCAGAGGCCTGTCAGCATTCACAACTTCACACCTCCCAGAGCAAGGGTGTGGAGGGGAAGGTGAGGAGGGGAAAGGTAAGAGAAATGAACCCAGGCAGCAGGGCATATGCTTTATGAGGGATGTGCACGCCACGTTCAGCGTGGAGCAGTCACAGCGAACCAGAGATCACCCATCTGTTGCTCCCAGGTGAATATGCCAGCGCAGACTTTCCTCCTCGACTAGAATGCTTCAGCTCCAGCCTTTATTCTCCCTCCCGACTAACCTGTACATCCACAGTAATACTAGGGCACTCTGCCTAAAATTAGGCCGTGCTGTCCCCTCCCCTTGGAGGACGATTTTAGAGAAGCCCATCTGGAGCCGGGATTTTTCCTGTAGGCTTTACACCCCCTCTCCTCCTCTGCCGTCCTGGCGCGGCTTTGAGGCCAAGAACCTACAACCCCCACTACTAGCCGTGCCCTCGCCGACACCCCACAGCGACCAGGCGGTATCGGTCGGAGAAAGAGAGGCCCACACGGCCCCACAGCGCTGCTGACCGCCCCCCCGCACCTCACAGCCGGCAGCGTTGGCGGCGCCCCGGGAGCCGGGAGGCCCTTCCCGCACGGCGGGGCTCCCCCGAGGGTGAAGGCGGGCGAGAGCGAGGGCGAGGCCTCCACGGCCGCCAGCCCCGGGCGCGCCCGGCCGGCGGGAGGACAAGGAGGGGACGGGGGGACAGCGTGAGGCGCCGAGGCCCCTCAGCGGGGCGGGCGCGTAGGCGGGGGCCGCCCCGCGGCGGTTGGTGCCCGCCCCGGGCCCCGAGCACCGCCCCCAGCGCTGCCTGGAAGCCGCGGGGCGGCGAGGAGGGGAAATCACGTGAGGTCTCCCCCGAAGCACCACCTGAAGGGCCGTACCACCACTGCCGGCGGAGGGGTGCGGGGGGGGGCAAGAGGCAGGATCCCGGCAGCGCACAACCCGCGGCGGGGACAGGCCTGCGGGCAAACAGACGAGAAACCGGGAGGGAGGCGGCTGCTTGCCGGTGATGGGTTACGGGATGAGGCCTAGGGGCGAGAAGGGGGCAGCGGCTCCTCCGCACACCCCTCCCGCCGGGCGGTTGGTACGTGTCCGTTAAGGAGGCGCCGGCGGCGGCCAACCCGGTGCGCGCTCTGTACGCGGTAACCAGCTATTCAAAAACAAGACGTCAGCCCACAATGCCCCGAGCCGCCGCCAGCATTACCTCATCCCACAAGGCCCCGCGCCGGCGCTGAGAAGCTTCTAGGGGCGGGGTGGCCATGGCGACCGGCTGATCCGCACCGGGCCGGGCCAGCGGCCCGCCTCCCCCGGAAGAGGCGGCGGCAGCCAATGGGGAGCCCGCGGGGTGACATCATGGGCTATTTTTAGCGGGCTCCCGGTCGCTGATAAGTGAAGGGCTCCACGCCGGGAGCGGGCTCAGAGCGCGGGGCGGGCAGGCGGGAGCGCGGCTGTGGCCGTTGGGTGCAGGCGAGCGGAGCGGAGCGGAGCGCGGCGGCACAGCGGAGCCGGGAGGGCGCGCAGGGAAGCGGACAAAGTTCTCGCGGCAACTTGTGGCAGCGCAGCAGCAGGAGTGGGAGCAGGCACCGCGCCGGAGCCCCGCGCCGCTCAGCCAGACCAGGCGGACTCTCAGCGCGGCGGCCGCAGGCACCGCGGGCTCGGCCCGCGCCGGGAGAGCTCTCCGCGCCCCGGCCTGAAGTAAGGCTCTGCTTTCCCCCGTTCCCGCTCCCTGCGCGGCCGGGAGGGTTTGGGGTGGCGGAGCGGGGCGCAAGCGGCGGCCGGGCGGCTTCTCGGCGCTGCCGCAGCTCCCGGCGCCACTCCGCGGACTCTGTTCTATGAGTGCAAAGATGGAGCCTACTTTCTACGAGGATGCCCTGAACGCCAGCTTCGTGCCGCCGGAGAGCGGCGGGTATGGATATAATAACGCCAAAGTGCTGAAGCAGAACATGACGCTGAACCTGTCCGACCCATCCAGCAACCTGAAGCCGCACCTGAGAAACAAGAACGCCGACATCCTCACCTCCCCGGACGTGGGACTCTTGAAACTAGCCTCGCCTGAACTGGAGCGGCTCATTATCCAGTCCAGCAATGGGTTAATCACCACCACGCCGACCCCGACGCAGTTCCTCTGCCCCAAAAATGTCACCGACGAGCAAGAGGGGTTCGCGGAAGGCTTCGTGAGAGCGCTGGCGGAACTGCACAACCAGAACACTATGCCCAGCGTGACCTCCGCTGCTCAACCTGTGAACAGCGGCATGGCACCTGTGTCCTCCATGGCCGGCAACAGTAGTTTCAACACGAATTTGCACAGCGAGCCCCCGGTATACGCCAATCTCAGCAACTTCAACCCCAACACGCTCAACTCCGCACCTAATTACAACGCGAACAACATGGGCTACGCACCCCAGCATCACATAAACCCCCAGATGCCGGTGCAGCATCCCAGGCTGCAGGCTTTGAAAGAAGAGCCTCAGACTGTACCTGAAATGCCAGGGGAAACTCCTCCCCTGTCCCCTATTGACATGGAGTCACAGGAGAGAATCAAAGCCGAGAGAAAACGCATGAGAAACAGAATTGCAGCATCCAAATGCCGGAAAAGGAAGTTGGAAAGGATTGCCAGGTTGGAAGAAAAAGTGAAAACTTTGAAAGCCCAGAACTCAGAGCTGGCATCCACTGCCAACATGCTCAGAGAACAGGTTGCACAGCTTAAGCAGAAGGTCATGAACCATGTCAACAGCGGGTGCCAGCTAATGCTAACACAGCAGTTGCAGACGTTTTGAAGAGACTGTCTTAAAGGAGAACTGTGAGGTTGTGGTATAACTAAAACAAACAAAACTCAAACCCCACCAAAAGTGGCAGATGCGTAAAGCTGATGGCAAAAGCTGAAAGGCTGAGTCCTGCCTGTGCTCTGCAAAGCGCATGTGTGGAAAGACTGGTGAGCCTTCAGCTCAAGAGAGCGGCCAGCACCACGCCGAGAAGTGCTGTTCCTGCTCCGGTGAGATGTCAGATCTTCGTTTAACATTGACCAAGACCTGCATGGACCTAACATTCGATGATCATTCAGTATTAAAGGTTAAACTGCAATAGAAACTGTAGATTGCTTTATGTAGTATTCCTTAAGAAACAAAACAAAACCAAGTGGGAGGGAGGTTTGTGGGAGGCTGATAAACAACTCCAGAACTATTCTGCCTGCCTTGAGTCAATTGTGTATGTACAGATCCTTTTTTATTTTATTTTATGAAAGTTGATTAATGTCAATAAACTACTTCATGACTTTGTAAGTTATTTTTATGTTGTTTATTTGGGCACTGCCCAGTATTGTTTGTAAATAAGAGGCTTTTTTTTAGCACTCTGAGTTTACCATTTGTAATAAAGTATAATTTTTTAATGTTTCTGTTTCTGGAAAAAAAAACTAGAAGGTTCTATTATATTTAAGAAAAAATAAAAGAATTAAAATGCATTTCCCCCCTCACACTTTTTGTTTTGCTAGTACCTGAGTTGGGAAAATGCCCTTTGTGCTGAACTCTGAGGGCAGGGATTGTGTTCAGCTTGCTCTTGGAGAGTGGGTGAGGAGGAGAGGGAGTAGCTGAATCCTCATTGCTAAACTAAAGCAACTTTTTGGGTTGTCCTGAAGTAGCTCTTAGTTTAACCTGACCAGTTTGCCTGCTGTATTCTACTGGCCCAATTTAGATGGCTTGTAGTGGGGTAGACAGCCAGTGTATGAAGTTGCTCCATAACTGGGGCAACTGGCTACTTGATCTGACATGTTTTTCTTATTAATGCCCTCAAGAAGATCAGGCAAGTGGTTGTCTTAAACCCCAAAACAAAACATGTTTTAGGCTTCAAAAACAGCAATGTTCACCTTTGTTCCTGTGTTCCTTCCTAGGTATGAGGTGATCCTTGTTTGTCAGTATTTATAACAATGCTGCTGTCAACAGTAAAATAACTTTCTAACCCTTCCTCTCTCTTTAAATCCTTTTGGGTGTCACAGTTCTAAGCTTTTTAGAAATAGGAAAACAGCCTAGTGGGAAATAAAAGCAGCTTGCTGAGAAACAGCAACTCCTATTGCTTGTTTTCAGGCATTTGATGAAAAGACCAACTTTTCTGGTGCTTCCCATGTACTTTTAATAAAATAACCTAGGGTTTAGTACAATGACAATATAAATACCTATCTTAGAAACATGCTGCTTAACTCGTGGGGACACACACACACACAATTATTATACCAGGATTTTCAACACTGTGCCCAATTCTTGTAGTTTAATAAGCATGTATTTGCAGGGAGACCAGATGTTTTCCTGCTTGCTGCCTAGAGCCAAACAGCCAAGAGGAAATAGATGCTATCAAAAGACAGCCAGAAATATTAGAAATTCATCATTAGTGAATGGTAACTTAGAGCAGTGTTAAAAGTGTCTTTTCTCATTAAAATAGGAATAAGCAATAGTCTTATTAAAGCTCACTTCACAAGATAACGACTGGATACATATACAACTTTACTGTTATCAAAATGATACCCTGAAACTTGCGACTAACGTGGGTCAGGTCCTTACAGGAAGCATAGAAGTATCATTCCTCCAGCTTTTTTCTGTCCGTATTATATGCATTTTATCATGAGGGGTTGTTTTAGTGTTTAAAATGGGGTTATATGGTGATCTCCCTCCACACGAAAATCCAAGCGTCAAGGTAGGCACTGTTTAGATGGTGTTTGCTGCTGTCAGAGGAATACAACTGTAACAACACCAACCAAACAAAGGGTTACTAGGAGGATACTGTACTTTGCCAAGAGTACATTTTGCTGATGTCAGCAACCCGGAAGGTAAGTTGATTTTGACCATATGTAGGAATAGACAGCAGAGGGATAATACACAGCACTGCTGGGTGTGGTTTTACAGGGATTTAGCAAGTGCCAACTAGCAAAATAAGCAGGGCAAGGAGATTAATTACCTGCAAAGGTGCATGTTTAACTCTCAGCAGTGCTGGGTTAGGGACTCAATGTAACTAGCAAGCATTCTGCTTCATCACCTCATTACATACTAAATAAATACATTAGAGAAAATCCTATGTTAATTAAACACAGCTGAGTGACAGTCTGCTCCACCCTCTCCTAATACGCACACAGGGACACTTAGCATTGCAGTTTTGTGTCTTCTCTTTCGAGTACGACATTCTGTAGCTAAAGGGTTACTGAGTAATAGCACTGCTCCTTAGGCGGGCATCACCTGGCAGGTTGGTTTCTGTGCCATGAGTTACCTGACCTGGTCCAGCTCAGGTGCTGGTGTCCACCACCATCAAGCAAGGTGGGCTTTAGTGCCAGTTACACAGTTTCAGAAAGAGACGAGGAGCGATTTAGATGAATCTTTGGTCCGCATCTCATCTGAGCATCAGGCTTGAGACAGGGCAAAGTAAGTTAATATTCCCTCTCCTCCATCTGTTTTGTAAACAGTGTAGTGAGCTATGAGCCTGTTGCTATCTGGTTTACTTCAGCACAGATTACAGTTCAGCACTCTCAGTATATCACTAAGTCACTCAGTGATCGATACACACAAACTGTAATGAGAGATGCGCCCGCATTTGTATGTGGTGAAATGCAAAGTTTTAACACTTACTTAACTGCTTAGATTAAAATGCCTAATGCGCTATGTGCCTCGCTTCTATGAGGAATAGCCAGTTGTCTTTGAGATTCAGAGAGAAACTCTCTTTTTGTTGCCCCAGCTGTACTCACAAGGGAATATTTTGCAAATAACAGCATTGTGAACATGTATTTTGTTTGGCTGTGAGTGTTGTCAACGGATTCAGGAAGTGAAGTCAGAAAAAGGCAGGGTTTCAAACAGGGCAGGCTCCACAGAAATGCCTAGCACAGAGCCTCTAATCAGAACAACATGTTTGGGACACAGGAATATTAATTAGAATTTGGGTCTCTACTAAACCCAGCAAAACCCTCGTGCTTGTATCCCATGAAGAGAAGTGAGTTATAAGGAGGGTTGACCATGATTACTCACTGCATGCTTTTAAATCCTGAGTACTTGTCATTACAGAAATAACAGTCACAATATCTAACTTATCCTACGGCAGGAAAGAGTTATATACCAGCCAGTTCCAATCTCAGAGCACAGGAGTAGTTACTAATAGAATCCTGATCCTCAACTGCCTACATCTCTGTAGGTCTAAGAAATACTGACCTCAAAACATGGCACTTTAAATACCAGCCTAAGGCAGCACATACCCATTTAACAATAAAATTTATCAACCAAAAGATGCCTTAGCTGTCTTTCCATTTTATAGGAAGCTGTCAGGAAATACAGACAATATCCCTCCAAACCTATGTGAAAAATGACTGACAGCTTTGTCCCATGCGAAAGCCTAAGAAATCCATTACAGTGATTACTTTCTGAGAAAGTAAATAGGTCTTTCAGTGAAGTACATTGCTGCATACCCATTAATGACCTTATCCCCCCAACTGTGCAGGAAGCAAGGAATCTGACAGGCACCCTGGTTACTGTGCAGCAGGCTTACATCATTTATCTAGTGTCACACAACACATATGGACACTGCACAGTGGAGCCAGAACCAGTGGCAAAACTGGAAGTTACAGAGCTGGATCAGCACAGTGTTTTGCCCAAGTGCATCACCCTGAGCAGGGCTCTGGGGTTATGAGCTGGGCAGCATCACTGAGGTCTGTGGGGGCAGATGGACCAACTCAGGCTGGGACAAGCTTGGGCATCAGTTGAATACACCACAGAATGAGGTATACCATGTCCATGAGAAGCACAAGGCAGAACTGCAAAGAAAAGAACACTTATCTTTAATATCAAGCCTAGTTCTTTCTCTGTTCTCCATCTCCCTACTCCTATGCCCAAGACTTGGGTATAACAACATAGAGTTACCCACATCAAGAAACTAAAACCAGTTCAGGCAAAGTTTGCTGTGTAGGAAAGAAAAAGCTGTAAACATCATAAGTGAATACAAAATATTGCTAACAGGCAGGTGGACAGCAAGGAAGTAATATTTGAAATTACCATATACACAAACCCATGATGAGACAGAATATCCCTTAGTAACATGTAGGGATGCAGCTTAGGGATGGGGGAAGTAAGGTAGTATTAGTCTCATAACTACAGAAAAGGAAAATTCCAGATGTGGGTGGTTTGCTTTTTGAGGAGGCAGATCTTCCAGAGCAATGCTTCATCTTTAGAATTACACATGCTGCCACCACCAGTGTCTGCACCCAAGGGCTGGTAGCAGTCTTGATTCTACACATACACGTTATTGTTGACAAGAATCATGGAATCACTGAATGGTTTAGGTTGGAAGAAACCTTAAAGCTCATCCAGTTCCAATCCCTGCCATGGGCAGGGACACCTTCCACTAGAGCAGCTTGCTCCAAGCCCCTGTGTCCAACACTACCAGGGATGGGGCAGCCACAGCTTCTCTGGGCACCCTGTGCCAGTGCCTCAGCACCCTCACAGGGAGGAACTTCTGCCTTATATCTAACCTGAGCTTCCCCTGAAGTTTAAAGCCATCACCCCATGTCCTGTCACTACAGTACAATATAACCTCTGAACAGAGAACAGTGCTGCTGACAAAGAAAACTTGTAGAAACTCATCATATAATTTACTGTGAAAGCCTCTGACTACTTCAACACTTTTAAGAGTGGTTTTGCACAGCAGGACCCTCTTTTCCAATTTTGCACATTATTCTTTGCAATCCCTTTTTGTTAAAGAACAATGGAACTACAAGAATCAAATTAGACCTTCACCACAGTTCCTTCTGTCCTTGAATATTCTGACATTTGAGAAACACAGTTACAATGGGAAGGTTATGACTGATCTGATTA